AGAGTGTTAGCAAATGTTGCTCGGCGATGATTAGATCGTTGTTATTCATAATGCGACGAATTGGCACACTCGAAGCGATCCTATTGTCTCGATATAAGACGCCTAATCAAAGATCCGATATCGTCATCATTCTGATCATCTCAAAAAATTCGAAGAAATCCGCTTCATATACTGGAAAACATTCCTATTGTGAATATGACTTTGTTTCGGTTCTCAGAATTTGGAATACCTATGAAAGTGCTCATCAAAAGTATTTAATACAGAATAGTAACCTAAGTTTTTCGACAAGCTCCTTGGTTAGAGGTCGATTGTCGATGTCAATTAGCGATGAACGATAATGAACGGCATCGATCAACGACGGCTGATCGAAAGAATTCGACGCTTTGGGTTGATCGTAATCCGAGCTGTCCGCAATGCAACCACTATCACGAGTGGGCAGCGATGGCTTTCGAGCAGGTAACAACGGTGCTGAATCGGTCCTGGGAATACGCCAGTGGAGTTGAGTGTTGCTGGTTTGCTTGCTGACATCTTGACAGGATTGTGAGATGGTGTTGGCGTTGGAGAACGGAGGAGGTGTTTTGAGTGAGTTCAGCGATGTCAACGAGGAGTGCTCCAGACGGCGAACCATTGAAGATGTGGACGCATCCAGCACATCGTTTCCACATTCCTCGGCGTTTGAAGTTGGCGTTTGCACGGGTGATTCCATCGTATCATAATCCAATTCACAATACTTAAATCATCACTGATTCAGAGGCGTTCAGGTGACCATCAAAACAAGTTCAGCTAGCGTTCAATTATTACTATTGTCCTATCGCCGAGGAAAGCTAACAGCGATTATATTATTCATAAACTTGTCACAATCACACCAGACATAACCAAAGTAACGTTATAAATGACAAAAGAATGTGATGACGTTGAATTTTCGAAGAATAGTTAGCAATAGTGCAATATTAAGCGAAATTCAAAATACATTTGAGGGTATTATAGAGATTTAATAACATTGAAATCATTGCTGAAGTGCAGTCTATCAATAGAGATGCAAATTGCACTCGAAAGAAGAAACAAATCAGTTCTAAGCAGACGAAAATAATTAGCTACCATTAAATGAGAATGTGAAGTTAAAGTGCCGGTTAAAGACAATTTATGGGGTAAAAACTGATCAAGCAGATTATCTGACTGACAGTTTTTTAGGGTCAAGGATGATGGTTTTAATAGATCTTTTCGATAAATCCGGAATTGCTGTTGATCAACCATAAGAGAGTTAGAAAAGTGGATGTCCGAATCAAGCGGAGTAAGGACGTTACAATGTCAAAAGTGCTATTTCTCCACCATTTCAACTATTAACGGATTGAAATGGTTAATGAGGGCATGGAAAATGATCGCATGAAACAAATGCTGAAATAAACATTAGGGGAAGAGAACACTCAGCTGGTGGTCAATTAAGCGAGAGAAAGGAAGTGATGAGACAGGTGGATTGAGCAGATCACAAAATGGAGCAGATACATTCAGTAACAACTCCAAAGGACACCTTCCGCTGAGTGATTCATCTTGATTCACATCAAAGTTTTACAGAAACTCCTTCACTTATTGTGTGAAATGAATTTCGAGCAGATCCGAATGATTTTACACTAATTTTTTGAGAAATAATCACATCGTCGATGCATTGAATGCAATCAACAACTAGTTCGATATGAATGAACTCACTTCAGATTGATCTTCCTTCAGTGGTGCTCGTTGAGGAGTGGGTAGTGGTCGATTGAGCAGTGCCGAAAGAGTCATATGTTGTTTCGGCGACGGGTGACTAGCGTTTACTGTGTTAACGTTCGATGTTGAAGAGGCACGATTCAAAAACTTGCTTGCTTGATTCAACAGAACTTGTTGACTCAGACATCGATCAATGCCTGCAAGCCGTTTTATTCAGAACGAACGATCGAGTCATTAATATTGCGATTCATTTTGCAAAATTCCCCCAAAAAAAGCGCATAAACCATCGCCGAACACAAATTTTGATTTTCAAAAATGAGTGCTGAAGAAAAAAATGTGAATGCAGTGTACGTTTTACGTTTTTACAGTGTACGTTTCTGAATATTTGCGCCTTAGAAATTAGAAATGTTTAGAATGAAAAAGTCAAACCGTTCCGAGCACGTTGCGGGAAAAACATTTTAACATAGTTCTCCTCGATTTCTTTGTAAGGTTCAGGGATATTGGTGATAGAATTCGATTTGGAGACAGGATTGGAGATGATACAGCCGCTTGTGAGGGTTACTGCTCGTCGATGGCTTTGATAAAATGAAATCAAATCCGAAACACTTTCGAATTGCTCATCTTCAAACTGTAAATGGAGGACTTAACGAGTTTATGGTGCGCAACACACAGTTAGCTAAGTTTTTCATGCATACATAATAGTTTGCCATTATATCCACGAATCCATAAAACTCTCAAGATTTTTAATGATCGAAATTCGCTTCGTATTCATCGACGTTTACAATTAATTTCAATTCTACGTGATAGTATCAACGCTAATCGAGTTTCGAACGGAACATCAAATAGTAATTGAACACTCGATTCGGAGAATGTGAGATGAATGTAGTGGAAGATAAAAAATTATTGCGTATTCGAATAGGTGTGAGTGAAGTCATGAGAATGGAGTTTACCTAAACCACTCACCTGAAAGAGAAAGCCGGTTGAGCTGTTTGATGAAGATATTCGGTTTATTTGAAAATGTATAGCACGACCCTTCCAGAACACTGTTAAAACAAAATCGCCTTTTGAAGATATGCTATCACGCACCTGGAATTTGACTGACATGAGCTGGACATGTGCAAGCAGTAAATTACCTGAGTTGAATGAAATGATGAAGTGGAATCAATCTCGAGATTCACGTCCGATACTATCAATTAACAACCTTTTCCCTATATTCCGCTTAATTCATTATTTTTTCCTCTGATCCCTTGCCTTTATCTCAAAAACTGACCTATTCTTCTGTGTACGTGGTATGGCCACCACATTATTCATGTGATTGCGCCCTTCTCAATAAAATAGCATTTGAAAGGAGGCAATTATAATATATTGAAATGAGTGATGAACCATTGTGCATATGAATATGATTTATGCATGAAACAGGCATTAATGCACCAGATGAATTGATTTCGGACGTTTTT